TGTATATACATAAATATATCATCTATAGATGCAATAATATATCTATATTCATCTATTTCATCTATAGATGCTATAATCTATATTTATCTATTTTCTATCCATCACCTAACTTCCACTCATCTCTCTATATATTTATCTATCTATATCCTATCTATCTATCTATCTATCTATCTATCTATCTATCTATCTTTTATCTATTTATTATCTATTGGTCACAAGTTTGTCATCTATACATGCATCTATCTATCTATCTATCTTTTATCCAAATATTTACTGTGTATATCTATCTTTTATAGATTCTGCTATTTATTTTCCATTCAACTATTATCTATCTATTTTTCCATCCTTCTATCTAATCTACCTGTCTGTCTATGGAGGGGGAAAGATTGATGTGGCAACTAGAACCGCCTCATGCACTCCTGGAGACAGAAAGTCCTGAAAACAAATCCACTCAGAGGCTATACTTTAGCTGATTCCATATCCAACAAATTAGTAAGATCGTCCTCCACAAAGCATGTCTTGTTCAGCATCAAGTCAGGAGGATTCCTGCACCTCATCGAGAGAGGAGGAGGTTTAGATGGTAAGCAGGGACAACACTAGGCCACAGCTGACCGAAATGTATTTAGACAGTCTCAGAAATTATCAACATATCCAGGGGCTGGAGAGATGACTCAGTTGACAAGCATGTGGTCCTGAGTTCAAATCCCCAGCACCTAGGTAAAAGTTGGATGTGTTGCATTAGTATCTGTAGTCCTAAAGCTGCTAATGTGAAGTTGGATGTAGAGACAGGAAAATACCTGAAGTTTAAGGCTTTGATCTTCAGTATTTTTGTTTTTTTTTTTGTTTTGTTTTGTTTTTGTTTTTTCGAGACAGAGTTTCTCTGTATAGCCCTGGCTGTCCTGGAACTCACTCTGTAGACCAGGCTGGCCTCAAACGCAGAAATCAGTTTGATCTTCAGTTTTTGATTGTTTTATTCTTGACATTGGGTAAGCAGATGTGAAAGATGCGTCAGACATCTGCTGACGTGGTGGGATGATGAAGCAAGGTACTACCGAGTGTGTGCTAGATAGAATAGTTATGAGTCAGCACCAGATTCTGTGCAAGAGCCTAGGGACCCCAGGTGACCCCAAGTAGTTCAGAGAATGCTTTGAGGATGACTAGAAGTCACCTGGGGGACAGACAGACAGGCCTTGACATATAACACAACACCATATAAGGCATGTGCGGAACACTGTAAGATCTGTGGTAGCAACAGTGGTTCTTAGCTCAGGGGGCTCTTTCAAATGACCCAGGGGCATCAATAACTGGTGGCTTGGGTCCCATTCACAGAAACTTGATGTCATTGGCCGGTGGGTGGGGCCCAGGAGTCAGTATCACGTATTTCAAGGAGGACAGGAAGTACAGTGAGAAAGACTTTTGGAGAATGTAAATCTGGAGGAAGTTGGTAGAGGATCTCAGCTAGGCTGTAGTCAAGGCTACGAGCTTACACTGCAGAACCAGGAAAGAAGAGTGAAGAGCCGAACAGCGAAATAAAGAACCACTGAGCCTGCGATGGGACCCAGTTTGCCCTCATAACTGTATCCTTTGAGCTGTTGTTGCTTCCCATGCCCATTTAAAAGTGAAAGTCAATAGGGAAATAACAAAACATATCATAAAATAAAATAAGCTGAAAGAATACTCAATAAAAAGAAGCGGTGGAACAGTAAAAGCGGACAGCCGGTGCAGTAAAACCTGGAGGAAAAAAAACCTCAGGCTGAAGGAATCACCACCAAGAGCCAGGAGATAAAAGGACTGCTAGGGCGAGCACAGGCATTCAGCTTGGTGGGCGTGTCCCTGCTTTGCGCAGCCTCAGCTTCGCCCACCCTGGCAGGGAGAGATGATGATTATTTACATTCTACAGAGGAGAAAAATAAGCTTTGGGGAGATGCAGTTTGTGGCTTTAGCTGACAGTGGCCGGGCAGGGTAATGTCTCCACTTCCCTAATGAGGAAATGGAGATTAAGTTGTCAATACTAGCCAGTTGCTCTTGACAGTAGCAGGACTTTGGACTCGTTTTCCATTGCTCTTGGTTTTCAAAGTGGTGTGTGTGTGTGTGTGTGTGTGTGTGTGTGGTATGGTGTGGTATATGATGTGTGTGAGACATGTGTGTATGTGTGTGGTATATGTAGTGTGATGTGTGTGTGTGTGTAGCATGTGTGTGTATGTGTTATATGAGATATGTGTGTATGGTGTGTATGTTTGGTGTATGTGGTGTGATGTGTGTGCATGTGTGCAGCATATGTGTATATGTGGTGTGTGTGGTGTGATGTGTGTGTGTATGTGGTGTGTGTGATGTGATGCGTGTGTGTTTGTGTGGTGTGGTGTGTATGGTGTGTGTGGTATGTGTAGAGGTCAGAGGACAACTTCAGGGGTTACTTTGAGACAGGTCTGTTTGCTGATTCCCACCATATGCAGCAGACTAGATGGCCTTTGAGTAGCTGTGAATTCTCTGGTTCTATTTCCCTTCAATCTGTAGGAGTGGAGGGGTCATAGACACCTGTGTTACATGTTCTACTTTAATGTGAGTTCTGGGAATTTGAACTCAAATCCTCATGTGTTATGCACAAGCATTTTAAACCACTGCACCATTTCCCTAGCCCTAGGTTCCAGGTTTTGAAACTTAAGTTTTTGAGCTCTTTCTGCTGAGTAAAGGTCCAAGCTTGGATGCCTACTGGAATCACCTGGTGAGCGTTTGAAAATACTTGTACAATTAGACAGTTCTATGAACAGCTGTCTGAAAAAAAAAAGCTCATTGTCACTAGTTAGCAGGGAAGTGCAATTTAAAAAATCACAGTGAAACCACTCATATATCAGGTTGAAACTATCAACCACAACAAACATTGATGATGTGGAAAACTGAGAACACACAGTGGCGTGCCTGGAGGATACTGTGGTAATGGAGATAAGCCAGTCCACAGACGAGAGGTACCTAGAGGAATCAGATTCATAAAGTCCAAGAATGGAACAGGCCCGAGGGAGGGGCAGATTGGGCATTAAGATTCAGTCAAGCAAGATGAACAGTTCTAGCGGTTGACTGTGCAAGTCTGTACTGTACATCGATGTTGGTAATATATTGTGTATTTACAATTGTAAGGGGACAGATTTCCTGCTTTAAGTATTCTCATGGCCTTTTAAAAACTTGACTTGTGGACTGAGCAGGTTGCATTTATATATCTAGGACTATAATATAAACTGTTAAATAAAAAGTGGCCATGAATTTGAGAGAGTGCAAATGAGAATACATGGGGGAGGGAGGAAAGGTAAGAGGGAAAGGACATAATTGTATTTTACCTTCAAAAATTAAAAAGTATTTAGAAACTAAGCTTGCGTTGTCATTGCTATTTAGCTACTGTATTTATTTTGAGATATATATCTGTGTATATATCTATGCATCTATCAGTCATTTATTATAATTTAAAACAAAACAAAACACTGGTGGGGCTGGGAATGGCTCAGTGGTCAGATCACTGGCTGCTCTTCCTAGAGGACCAGGGTTCCCAGCACTGACGTGGCACCTCCCAACCATCTGAAACTCCAGTTCCAGGAGATCCAACACCTTCTTCTGGCCTTTGTGGGCACTTCACAGATATGGAGTACAGACATACATGCAGGCCAAACAGCCATGCACATAAGTTTAAAAAAGAAAAGAAGGAAACGTGGTGGTGTGTGTATGGGGGGCAAGTTCAGTGCTAACACAGTCTGGGTTGGGCCAGGAAGACGAGGTATACTTGATACAGCTAAACACTTATGACTTCTCTGTGTTTTCATAGTGATTGCTACGATCTACTGCGCTACCAGCCCTGAGTCCTAAGCCCTTTGTAAACAGAAAAATTTCGTGTAATACATTCCGTGTCAGGCAGGGATTACAACCTCCACTTGGGAAATGAGGAATGAGAAGGCTTACACTCTCTTCTCTAGTAGGCAGTGTCGCCTCAGTGGGAGCTCAGGCCTGGGGCTCCGTGCTCTAGAGCAGGCTTGGATGATGCCCTGCAGGCAGGTGCTCCCCGGTGGCACATGGGTGTCATACGCTGCTGCTTTCACTTCTCTCCTCTCAGGCTTTAGAGGCAATAGTGTAACTTTGGCCCTGGGTCTTTGTACACTGAGTAATTGTCCTCTAGATGGAGGGAGGGTGATTTGTGGGTCCACATTAAGGAAGAATTTTCTAAAAGAGAATTCAGTGGGTGAGATGAGCTCCCAGGAGGCAGTGGGTTCATGCAGCTGTGTCTGGGAAGTTATGTCGAGAGGGCAGAATCATCCTTTGAAGTACTCTGTGTGGTATATGTGTGTGTGTATGTGTGTGTGAGTATGAGACAAGTATGTGTGTATGTGACAGGTTTGTGTGTGTGTGGTGTGGTGTGTGTGTATGGTATGTGTATGGTGTGTGTGGTGTGTGTGTGTGTGGTGTGATGTAGTATATGTGTGTGGTGTGTGATGTGTGATGTAGTATGCATGTGTGTTGTGGTGTGTTGTCTGTGTGTGTGTATGTGTATACAGTGTGGTATGTGTGTGTTGTGTTGCGTGTGGTGTGTGTGTTGTGGTGTGGTGTGTGTGTTTGTGTGTAAGCAGAGGCGTCCAGGAAGGGCTGTGATTAGATACCTCTGACACAGGCTGGGGTGGAATAGCACAGTTGGTATAGTGTTCACCTACCATGCATGAAGTTCAGAGTTTCTTTCCCAAGCACGGTATAAAACTGGCATGGTGGCACATTCCTGTAATCAATCACTTGGGAGGTAGGGGAAGAAGATCAGAAGTCCAAAGTCATCCTTGGCTAGACAGTGATTTGAGGTCAGACTGAACTACCCAAGACTCTGTCTGAAAACAAAACAAACAAAACAAAAGAGAAATAGATACTTCTAAAATGCTCCTGCACCTTGTAACTGAAGGGCACAGATGATCTTGTTGAAGTTCCATGAGTGGAAAGCAAATTCTAGAAGATGAGCTCACAGAGCCAGGGAGTTCTAAAAGGACTTAGGTCGATCTGGAGTCTGATTTCTCCCTCCTCCTCTCAATGCCTCGTGCTGGGACACTGGCAGGATCGAAAAGGGTGTCCTGAGCTGAATCAGGACTTGGAGCCACAGCCACTACTGTCATTGTCACCACCGGTTCAGCTCTGGTAGGGAGGACTCCTGATCTGTGAGCCCCTCTCTCTGAGTCCTGATGGTTTTAGCTAGAGGGGCTTGGGAACAGCAAAGTGGTGATCAGAGATGGAGGGAGGGGTGGATCCTGTTTTAGGACAGAGAATGCGGAGGGAGGGACGGAAAGGAAGGGGGGGAGGGAGGGAGGGAGAGAGGGAGGGAGGGAGAGATGAGATGGACGGAGAGAGAAGGGGGAAGAGGGAGGGGGACAGAGAGAATAAATATGAATAGAGCATTTGCGGGCAGGTCTTTGGTCTCTGAGTTACCACCAGATCCATTTCCTTAAACCTTCGGACCTGCTGTGAACTGCTGCGGATAAAGTTATCTTGAAGTTGCTTTACTCTGAAAAATACCATAAAATCACAAACACTCACTGGGTAGCAGTGAACTTGGTTTCCTCATCTATACATTGAGTATATTAATCCCAGCTCTTTGAATGGTTAAGAGGATTAGATGAGATTAAGTCAGAAAATACTCACAAAGAGTCTAGTCCTACGGCGTTGAAGGACTCCGCAAAGGTAATAATTATCTCCCTCCTTGTACTTTGAGAAGGGCTCACACTCTGTGGCCATGACTTCAGTGTTCTTGAGTTTAAGAAGTATCCACTGAACAGTCTCTACACCAGCAGCTCAGTTTGCCTTTCAAGATATGAAGATAAATAGGACCAGGCCATTGTTCTGTGGAAGGTCACCTTGGCCAGGGGCAGGGGACTGATATATAATCCAGTATGAAGATAAAGTTACTCCGTTTGGGGAGATGGTCCCTGCCAAGAAAGCCTTACTAGGGACTCACCTTGGATGTGATTCATCCTTGAGGTATTGATAGGAGCTATGTGCAGAGGCAAAGAGAGCTAAATCGCTAGACAGCAGGCATCTCCAGAAGAGTGACCAATGTAGTGTCACAAGAACTGAAGGTGAAGGACAAGCCGGCTTTACTGGGTCATAAAGAAGCCTCTAGATCGTGGTGGAGAGCAGTGAATGGGAGCTGTTGGAAAGTGCTGCATGACCAGGTTTTGCATTTCAACTCATTCTGGTGCCTGTGATACATGGAGGAGAGTCCGGAAGAGGTCAAGACTAAGCCTAAGGAAACTGTAAGGCAAGGCGGGTTGGTGGTTTGAACTTAAGGAAAGACTGTGCTCTTGCCAACAGGACCTTGACATTATTTGGCTCTGGGCAGATGAAGGATGTAGGCTGGAGGAGTAAAGGACAGCATCCATATTTCTATTATATTTGAGTAAGCAGGTGCTCTGTGGTATGAACGGAAGCCGGAACCAAGAAGGGCAGAGTTTGGTGGGGACATTATCTCTTAGATGAGTTCAATTTGAGATGACTGTGGGGTAGGTAGGGACAAGAGGTGTCCAGGGATCAACTCCTTTTTCAGTTCTTGGAAAAGATGCTACAAGAGGCCATTATCCTGAGAAGAGGGTCAAGGTAGAAACTGGAAAACATCTCAACATTTAAGACTTGGTCAGAATTTAGTTATGAAGTGCAGGAGAAATAGTCAGAGAGGGAGGAGGGATCCTGGAGAAAGGGAGTATTGTGGGAACCTGATTTCAACAGGGATGTGTTTGGCAAGAGAAATGTCCCCAAGGGCTTCTGTGAGGTGTGTCAGCAGAGGTCTCACGTGGGTGGTGGGGAAACCTTTTGACTCCTGATTAGCAAACACAGGAGAGCCAGGTATAGTGGTACACACCTATAATCCCAGCAACTCATGAGGCTAAGGTCGATCGTAAGGTGAAAGTCAGCTTGGGCAGTTGGCAAGCTCGTGTCTCAACATAAAATGGACATGGGGATCTAGGGACCAGTGGTGTAAGATAGTGGTGGACCTCTTCCTCAGCATGTGAAAGACCTTGGATTTGATCTTCAATACTAGGAAAGAGAAAAGAAAAGAAAAACAAAAAGAAGACAAGATGAAGGAAAAAGGAGGCAGTGGTGATTTTCCTTTCAGAAATTTGGATGAGAAGATCAGAAAAGAGAGATCAGTACAGACAAGGATAAGAAACAAGAGAAGGTATTCTAGAAGCAGAAGCTCTAAGCCTGAGAGTTTGAATAGAGTGAGGAGGAGCAGATAGAGATGAGGTTCATGGATGCTGGGAGAGAAGATAGGCATGGCTGGGAAGGGAAGAAGAATTGAGCTCAGGGGAAGGAGGAAGGAGGTGGATGTGTTACTGAATGCAGGTTGGGAAGCCTGTCACATGGAAAGCCAGTGGCCCAGAGAGGCATGTAAAGAAAAACAACCTGGAAAGAGACAGGCCAACATCTCCAGAAACCCCATATGAGAAGTCTTGAGGTAGGGAATGAATATTGATGAAGATTGGAGGTACATTCAGAAATAAGTGTTTCCCCAAGAGTGTGAGCCAGGCAGTCGTATGTTTTAACACTGACCAAGAATGATGACCGTGGGGGGGCACTCCTCTTATCTTTGAGGGCAAGTTGTTCCAGGCAAGAAGGCCACATCCTGGGAACAGGAAAGGAAGCTAGGAATAAAGCAAGATGGCACCACTAATGGCAGCAGTGACACATTTGTCCTTGCTCCAGAGGACTGGTGATAGAGTGTGGGAAGCTCCTGACGAGTCTGAAGGTGGAATGGGGCTGAGGCAGGGAAAAAGATTCTGCTTTCTTTGGTGCAGAAAGGGGTGAGGTCACCTGAGAACTAAGAAGAGGGCTACTCAAGGGGAGCAAGGAGGGTTCTGAAGCCCTTTTGATGGAGCCAAGAGAAAGACAATCAAAGACAAGCATTAGCATGGGTGCTAGTTCACCAAAGAAACAATGGCAAGTCTGCCTTTAATGCAGCCAATCGCTCTCCACTCATTTTCTCTTTTATTCTTTCAACATCTTCTGAGGCAAGTACTATTAATTTCCAGGCATCTTATACATGAAGAAAAAGAGACGTGGAGACTGTCTTACACCTAAGCCCTAGGAAGGAGCAGAGGTAGATGTCAAACCCATGTGCAAAACTATGCCTCAGTCATCCTCCACATTTAGGGTGGGAGGTTGGAAACCAAGAATACCCACGTTCTTCTTTATTTTCTTAATGAATAGAGTGTGAGCGTACAAAGTAGCAGGTTTCTTTCCGGCATTTTCATACATGCTTAGTTTGTGTTGATCTCCTCCTTCTGCCTCTACTATCCCCTTCTTTCTCTTTCTTTATTTTTAAAGATATAAACATTTTACATTATGGGATATGCATGTCTATGTGTACATGAGTCCCAGTGCCTGTGGAAGCGTGTGGAGGGCATCAGATACTCTGGAGCTGGGGTTATGGGTGATGGTGAGTTTCTTGATATGGATGCTGAGAACCAAATTTATGTCCTCTACAAGAGCATTGCATGCTCTTAATCACTGGGACATCTCTCCCACCCCTATCCATTTTAAAGTTGCACAAAGGACAGCCATTTTGGAGATTGTGTGAGTGTTTCATGTTTTGAGTTTGTGATGGGGGAGAGGAGATTGGTGCACAAAGTTTGTGAAAGTTATGGGTAGATGTGTTTGATGGTATTGGCCAGGGAGAGATATGAGCGGCAGACTGCAGAGTAGGGAAGTATGAACTGATGTCAAGACAGGGACTGGCCAGGTCATGAAGTGACAAAGGCAGTGCAGTTGAAGGCCAGAGGGCCTGAGGAAGTGAAGGAACCACGAGGCTAAAGGTAATCAGTGGCTGATGTCCCCATGTCATGGGGATCTGCCCACAGAGCCAAGTGACAGAGTAGAGCAAGCAAGATGGGTGAGTTTTAGGGAGCTTTTGCAAGGTGGGGATATAGGAGGGATGGGGAAGATGGAGGCTTCAGCTCTGGATCTGAGTGTGGGAGCAGTGCCTTCCTCCTGGGAGGGCTCCATGCTAATTGTGTCCCTGATTCAACTAAGGCTGGCAGAGAGAAGCCAGGGGCTGGAAAGGAGACCCTATGAATAGTGCTCCAGGGACCTTTCCAAGGTCTTAGGAGCATATCTGGTGTCCCATCAGGGAGGGATCCTTCTTTTGTCCACCTTTTCACTTCTTTCCCAGGATGCACTCAAGTCCCATACTTCCTTCCTTCCTTCTTCCAAGGGGCAGCTGTCTGGACCTTTGGTCAGGGCTGGTGAACTGTCTGCCATCCCACAGTTCAGCCCTCTACCTGTGCCATCGCATGGAAGCTAGGAGCCGGGCTCCCAGAAGACAGCTGTGCCCGCCTGGGATCACTTGGCTGGCCCTGGCCTATCTGCTCAGCTGCCTGCTTGCCTCCAGCAAGGCCAAAGTCTTCAGTCGCTGTGAGCTGGCCAAAGTCCTGCATGACTTCGGTCTGGATGGCTATCGGGGATATAACCTGGCTGACTGTGAGAACCCTTCTCCCCACTCCCCCCCACTCACCCCGTCTTTCCTCCTAAAATCCAAGGTGGGCTTGGTGGACAGCACCCAGTCCTGAGTTAACCACATACTAGGCAGGGAACAGACAGCCAGGTTAGAACCATCCCTGCTGGTAGCCAGGAAGTTAAAGGAACCTACTGCTTAGTAGGTTACACCCTATCTTGGCCATAAGGATTAAACATGCCTGCCAAAAGTTAGGTGGCAAACTGGACAAACCAGTAACTCCAAATGTTACAAACTAGTGGCAGTTTCAGGAGCCTGTAAAGTACAGTCACATCTGGATTCATGTCTCTAGTCTTGGCCTCCTTTGTAGAGCCCACTGGTGTCTTCCTAATCTTGCCTCTAAACAGTTAGCTCTTGTGCATTTATTCAACAAATGCAGCAAGCCCTTCAATATACTGAACAAGGAGAGAGAGGGAAAACTGACAGCTTGTTTCAGGAAGTCTGAGGTGCAGTCCTGACCTTGCTTTGAGGTAACTGTGTCTAACCTTGGGGAAGTCACTTTGACCTCTGACTCTAGATTGAGCCATCTGCAAAGTAGATGGGAGGACATCTTTTGTCTTTAAGGGACAAAAGGAGCCAGTATGTAGGAATTGATTGTGAGCACTTTGGTCTGTGGTGGCTCAACCACCTGACCTCAAAGCCTGTGTCTGTTCCTTGTAGGGGTTTGCCTTGCTTACTATACAAGTGGCTTCAACACAGCTGCCGTGGATCATGAAGCTGACGGAAGCACTAACAATGGCATCTTCCAGATCAGCAGCAGGAAGTGGTGCAAAAACCTCGCCCCGAATGGCCCCAATTTTTGCAGGATATATTGCACTGGTAGGCCAGGGCTAGGCCTGCGCTAGCCTTCACTGTTTTGTTGTTTCATTTTCTTCCCCTGTCCTTGTCTCTGGGTGAAGATCCTCAGGGGGCAAACAGGGGAAGAAAGGGCTTCTGTGAATCTGAACTGGGGTCCAGCCTTAGAGCTACAGGAATGGAGGGAATACTGTAGGGGAGAGGGGCCAGGTAACATCTGTTTCCAGAGATGAAGAAGTGTGTGTGTGTGTGTGTGTGTGTGAGAGAGAGAGAGAGAGAGAGAGAGAGAGAGAGAGAGAGAGAGAGAGAGCACTCTGTTCTCTGCTCCCTCACTGTTTCTCTCTTTCCACTTCAGATTTGTTGAAAAATGATCTCAAAGATTCTGTTGTCTGTGTCATGAAGATAGTTCAAGAGCCCCAGGGTCTGGGCTACTGGTGAGTAACTCCCATGGCAATCCCCCACTGTGGTCAGATTTGGAACTGGCCCTCCATGAGTATCCACTTTGTCTCAGTCAACATATCTCATAGCTTCATGAACTAACCCTCACAGCCGGTGTTGGGGATTATGGGAATTCAGAACGTTACAGCTGACACAATCAGAGAGGATAGCATTGGCAATTACATGACCACATAGCTCAGCCCAAATTTTATACAAAAGCCTGCGGTGTATAATAGATGGTAGATGAGGTTCTTTGCTTGGACCAGGGGTAGGGTCCTGGAGCATCCTTCTTTTCATTGTTTTCTTTCTTACCTAATTCAAGCAATATATTTTTTGAAGTTTCCTCACAACCAAGAAGTCTGAGCATTACACTGGGCACTGACATAGATGGCTGGTTCATATAGGCGCTCAGGTCAGGTAATCCACAGTTGCCCTGTCTCTTTTGATGGAGTTTCCACTGAATCTCCAACCTCTGCTCCACTTATGCTTATGAATGAGAAACTAGCAGGGCAGGGACATAATCAGAGAATACTCCAGGAGTTTGGAGCACTGAGACCATGGACAGATGTAACAATGGAAACGGCTGGGGAAGGAAGAAGAGGGACAGGTGTACCCGTAGTGGACACAGAGAGATCGGGTATAAGGGGCTGTGAAAGGGATTCAGGTGCACGTGACATATGGTCTAAGAGAAAGGGGAGGGGTTAGACATGACCGAATCTTGAGATATTCTAGACACATTCATTGAAATGGACACCACTTCGTTGGTCTGAGAATAGTTGAAGCCCTAAGAGGTGAGTTAAGGGTAATGCCAGCTCTGTAGGACAGAGTATGTTTATAAAATCAGGAAGAGACAAGATAGGCTGTTCCAAGAACATAGTAGTTTGTATCTTCAGTGGTAAAATAAGGCAATTAGATACTGGCTTTTTATGGCCATTCTCTTCCTTAAAAATCTTTCCCTAGGTAATTGCTTGCTGGTTAGCTCAGCGTGTTGCTCTCCATCCTCCTAGTCCCTGTCCATGCTCCTCTTCAGTTTAGAGCCTTGTACCTTTTCTTCTCTCAGAACGGCAGCACCCAGGGTTGAAGCTGATGTGGATTCTTTTTGTTTGTTGAGACAGGATTTCTCTGTATTGGCCTGGCTGTCCTGAAACTTGTTCTGTAGACCAGGCTTGCCTCAAATTCAGAGATCCACCTCCTTCTGCCTCTCAAGTGCTGTGATTAAAGGTTCGCACCCGCTGCCACCCAGCTGCTCAAGTGGATTCTTTTCCTTCTTCTTTTCTATCCCCAGGGAAGCCTGGAGGCACCACTGCCAGGGCAGGGACCTCAGTGACTGGGTGGATGGCTGTGACTTCTAGGACCCTCTCTGGATGGATCAAGCCACACACAGCTGGCTGGGAAGTGTGGACTTGTTCCTGACCCAGGCTTGGGAAGACAAGCCAAATAATAAAAGTCTAATTTGACAGAAGCACATTTTTTTTTCAGCTTTCTTCAGGTCTGCATGCACCCAGCAGAAGCCAGGGCCTTCTTATTGTGCCTGCTGAAGCCTATCATGGAAGGTTTCTGGAGGAGGGGGCAGCATCAGTACCTGCTTTCCCCATACCTAGCAGAGTTTGGGTCTACAGTTACCAAATTTAACAAAGGCCAAACCAAAACAAAAATAGGATACCCTGGTTAAATTAGAATTTGAGATAAACAACAAGTAGCTTCAACATACAGGTATGGTTCAAATCTTGTATGGATCAAACTAATTTTGAAGAACTTACTTCTGTATCTGGAATTCAGATTTAACTGGGAGCTGATGCAGTTTTACCTGGCGACCCTAGATAACTCCTGGTGTAGTTGGATAGCATCCAGGGGACACTTGCTTTCTGCAGCTCTGGTTGCAGATAGCAGCCACCATGCCTTAGCTCTCACTCAGATGTCCCCTTACATTCTGTGGTCATGAGGTGATGCAGAAGGACTGCAAGGGAGGAACCACTGAGTTTTCCCCAGTTTTATTGGCCACCTAGCTCTTTCATGCTCTCTAGAGGTGGGGTAGTCAAGTGTCACTGACATTAATAGGTGGTCACTTCCTGGAAGGGGAAGTCACCACATACTACCTTTAAGAAGATGAAAGATGAAATGAATACAGAAAATGTGGCTCATTTACACAATAGGATGTCATCCAGCTATTAAGAAACAAGGTCATCATGATGCAAATGGATGAACTAGAAAATGTCACCCTGAGAGAAGTAACCCAGAACCAAAAGGACATGCATGGGATGTACTCACTTATAAGTGGATATTAGCCATAAATTACAGGGCACCTACGATACACCCATAGACTCAAAGATGCTAAACAAGAAGGAAGGCCCAAGTGACGGTGCTTGAATCTCACTTAGAAGGGGGAATAAAACAGTCACAGGAGGCAGGTAGAGGGAGGGTACAGGGTAGGAGAGGGGACAGGGAGGGAAAGGGGGGGTTCAGGATCAAGTGTGGGGAGAGAGAGGAGAGAGAGGGCCAGAGGGCTGAGAGAATGAATGGAAATTGGTGGCAGTCAAGGGTGGGGCTGGGGGGCATCTCTAGGACCTGCCAGAGACCTGGGAAGGGGAGGCTTTCAGGAGTCTATTGGGGTGACTTTAGCTAAGACTCCTAGCAGGGGGATAATGGAACCTAAAGTGGGTATTTCCTGTAGTCAGGCAGGACCCCCCAGTTGAGGGATAAGGGCATCAATCCATCAATAGAACTTTTGACCTAAAATTTGTTCTGTTTACGAGAAATTCGGGGACAAAGATGGAACACAGACGGAGGGTATGACCAACCAATAACTGGCCCAGCCTGAGACCTTTCCCATGGGCAAGCACCAATCCCTGACAGCATTAGTGATATCCTGTTATGCGTGTAGGCAGGAGTCTAGCATAACTGTCCTCTGAGAGGCTACACCCAGAAGCTGACTGAAAGAGATGCTAAATATTGGATGGAGCTCGGAGAATCTTCTGGAAGAGTTGGGGGAAGGATTGAGGGACCTGGAGGGGTTAGGAACTCCACAGGAAAGCCAACAGAATCAATTAATCAGGGCCCTTGGGGGCTCCCATAGACTGAACCACCAACCAAAAAACATACATGCGCTGGACCTAGGCTCGATGTGCAGCTTGGTCTTCATGCAGGTCCCCCAACAACTGGAACACGGGCTGTTCCTGACTCTCTTGTCTGCCTGTGGATCCTGCTCCCCTAACTGGGCTGCCTTGTCTGGCCTTAGTGGGAGAGGATTCACCTAGCCCTGCAGAGACTTGATTTGCCAGGGTGGGTTGGTACCCAGATGGGGACTTTACCTTCTCAGAGGGGAAAGGGTTGGGGGGTGGGGTGGGACTGTGTGAGGAGGGGACAGAGAGAAGCAGGCATTGGTCAGGATGTAAAGTGAATAAAATAAGTTAATGGAAAAAATACAACAGAACAAAATGTAAGAAAAAAAAGCTGGAAGATGGGGTGAGGCGTGCCAGTGGGTTTAAGGTAGAAAAATGCAGAGTGCCCTTTCCAGTATATGAGAAGGTCTATGGAAGGCAGACACTGCTCTCCCAATAGGGAGCTCTGACTCAATTACCAGGGACAAATGTACTTAAAGGAGCAAGGTAAGGTAGGCAGGGTCTCAAAATTGCTAGAACAGCAATTGTCTAGTAACTAATAGGGTTACTATTGCTGTGAAAAAAAAAATACCATTACCAAAAGCAACTTGGGTAGCAAAGGGTGTATTAGGCCTACACTCACTGAAGGAAGTCAGGATAGGGACTCTGACAAGGTAGGAGCTATGCAAAGGCCATGGAAGAGTGCTACCTACTGGCTTGTTCCCCATGGCTTGCTGAGCCTGCTTTCTTCTAGAATGATCCCAACCACAATGGGCTGTGCCTTCCCACATCAATCACTAACTAAGAAAATGTTCTACAGGCTTGCCTACAGCCCAATGTTATGGAGCCATTTTCTCAGTTGGGCTCCCTCCTCTCAGATGGCTCTAGCCTATGTCAAGGGGACATAAAATTAGACAGCGCAGCAGTAGAGATGATGGGAGACGTGTGAGAAGGATGAATGTTGACTTCAGGTTGTAGCACCCTCTAGAAGGGCTTTCACTGAACTGTGTGTGCTCACCTGTAAGCTGAGGCATGGTTGGTGGCTTCTAGGTGGATGTCACTCAATGTCACTCAATATTCACTTCCCCCAAACTGCCAGCAAATACTGGAGGGGTGACGGACCATCTATGATTGAGGAAATGGACTGGTTTCCACCTATGGCTGGATTGGCCAGTGGGTGATAAAATGGGAGCTGTTTATCCAAGTGGACAGTGATAAAACATCTTGCTAAGAGGTGACATTGATGACTAATGGATCTATTAAATCACACAAAGCCCATGGGCTGACCATGTGGCATGTATTATCTGATTAGTACCCTGGGACAATAATAATAGTAATGTGGGTGCCACTATCATCCCCATTCTGTAGATAGGGACACAGATTGAGGGAAGGGCAATTTGTACCCGAGTCAATCTGACTCCCCGAGTGCATACAGTCATTGTACATGGATAAAGGGTCAGAGACCCAGGCCTCATCTATCTTGGCTGCTGTAACTTCAGATGTCTGTGCCTGCCTGCATTGCCTGATTGTTCCAGTGGGCCTCATTCAGTCGGTCTGAGAGAGGAGCCCAGGAATGGCGGAATGAGGCTCTTGGAACTAAGGGGACAGTTGTTAAAAGGACGTGGAGGCTGTGATCATGGCCTCAGGCCTCTTCAAGGTGTGGCCGAGCAGTGTCAGGTATGCCAGAGGACCTTGGAGGCTTGGGCTAGTGAGTTGACTGGGAACAGATAGAGATGGAGGAGGACTAGCCAGGACAGAGTGCTCTGGTCAGAGTTATGAAGGTCTGGCGTGCAGTGATGCTTGACAGTACGCAGCTCACCTAGGAGTGGAAACTGGGGGAGCGTTGAGTCTCAAACTCAGTTCCTGAGAGAAATGCTCATCTGTGTTAGGTACCCATGGTAAATCTTGGTGTCCCTGACCCCGGTTTTCCCATCAGTCTTCTCTACAGTCCCCTGCTCTTGAAATCGTGCCTATTTAACCTATGTTTTGGTTGTATGTGTGCCCTCCCCTCTCTGTGTAAGTGGTCAGAAGTTAACCTTTATGATGTTCCTCAGTACTGTTCATCTTGTTTTTTGTTTTTTCTTTCTTTCTTTTCTTTTTTTTAAATTTTTTGTGACTGGGTCTCTTGCTAGGTTGGAACTCACTGATTAGGCTAGGTGGCTGACCACTGGGCTCCAGAGATCTTGTCTCTTATTCTCCAGCATCAGGATCACAAATATGTGCCCCCATGGATGACTGGCTGGCTATCCTCGTGATGATGCGCAGGTCAGAAGTTAGCGCCCCCTGGTGGCTCTAGTAGAAATTGCCGATGCCCTTCTTTGGCTGAGGGCACCGTGTTCTGTGTGTGTTCTGTGTCCTCTGAACACTCTGGATGGCCTCTACCCAGACAGAACTCAACATTCCTGAGATACATGAGTGGCATAGGTGCTGTTTCCCTTTGCCTGGTCAGACACGGAAATAGGAACATCCTCTGTCTTATGAGCAAGAGTGTGGCCAAGAATCCTTTTGCCACATCAGTAAACCCTTGTCGGTGTGGGATGTCTTTTCTGACTTAAAGAGATCAGACACCCCAGGGTCATTTTCGAGAGTTTGCCTTAGAACCTTCCCAGTCAACAGAGGAGGTGCCATTCTCATTTTCAGAAGAAACTCGACCCTTAGAAGAAGGCTAGCACTTGGCTGCCGTGATACAGCTTCTGTGACTGAAAAAAAGCTGGAGAGGTCAGGATGCAGAGGCCACTGTTCATTCTCAGCCCATTCTGGCCTCCGTGACACTGGACCAGCATTTGGATTGCCAGTAGGCTAGAACCCAGACTAGGGAGATGCAGCCTGGGGAGAGAGCAGAAATTCAGCACACTCCTGTCAAGCAGGGACAGAGCATTCTTCAAACCCTCCAGGTTTTCATCTGCTTGCGGACCTTCACTTAGTATGTCTTCTGCATGTGGTGTGCCCACAGCTTCCAATCCTTTCTCAGAGCTTCAGTCAACACCCGCCATAACTCAGCCAGCCTCCTGAGTACTTATTCTCAGTGAACAATGTGACCCATGCATCTTGTCCCTCTTGCTGTTCAGGTTTCTGCATGTATAACCATCACCCAGCTTTGCCTAGCTAGGCTTTGAGATTCCTGAAGACAAGACTTGTGTTTTCCCGTGTCAGTTCAAGCCAATCAAATCCTAGCATGGAGAAGGGAAAGCAGATGCAAAGTCCAACTCTTAAACAAGAAGCTAGCAAAGGGAAAGTCAGTTTTCTTTAATGGTGTGACACTGGGCATTTCAGGGCAGGTCTCATGCTCAGGAGTAATTGGTCCATACAAAATAGACTCCATGGTTTTTAGTGTGTGTATATGTTTAAGAGAAACAATGAACAT